AATAGAGATAACCTTATTTATATTTATATAAATTTAAAATTTTTATTTTCTCAAGCAGATATTTTTAAAAGTGTAAGAAACTCAATACACTTTCCCAACTATACAATACACAAAAATGACTAAAAGATTCAGCTTGAGAGGGTAGACTGCAGTAGCTGTTCCTAAGTGTATATAAGAAAACACAAACTGCAATTTTAAAATTGCTTTAAATTTGTGTAAAAATTAACAGAATTTATGAGAGGAAGTATTTCATAAATACTTATCACGGAAACTATCTATCCAACCATTTTCTAAAAGGAAAAGCAAAATGTTCCATTATAAAAATCAGGGCCAAGCCAGGATTTGGTGGTTCATGCCCATAATCCTAGCTACTCAAGACACTAAGATCTGAGGATCACAGCTGGAAGCCGGCCAGAGCAGGAAATGTCCAAGAGACTCTTAATTCCAATTAGTCACAAAAAGCCAGAAGTAGATCTGTGACTCAAGGGGAAAAGCGCAAGCTTGGAGCAAAATAGCTCAGTGAGGGAGCCCAGATCCTGAGTTGAAACCCCACTACCAACAATAAATAAACAAGCAAACAAATAAACAAATAAATCAGGGCCATAATCATTTGATCAATTAATCAGAAACTGAGTACTGAAGATGAAAAGTTTAGATATATATGAATGAAAACTGACAAAAGCAAAAATCAATGCATGGAAAAAGGTATAAAACTGTCCTATTACATAAAGCATTACATAAGATTTATTATTGAAAATCAAGCTTCATAAATATTTAAAATAATATAGTTTACTTTTCTAGTCTGTTATGAGTATGACTTAAATATTTTAGATGCATATGTCTGCAAAAATGAACAAAGGCAAAATTGCAGTATCCCTGGTGGTCTTTTTAGAACATGTTAATTTTGTTCTTTGGTTAAATAACAAAAGAATAGAATTATGGACAGAATTCAGCAACAAGTTTTCCGTAAGGATATAAAATCATGCCATGAGTTCAAAAAAAAGGGTTAGTGTATAAATTTGGGGAATAAGCACTCATGCAATAATCAGAAAATACCTGTACCGAGCCACCATGTCTGTCTGCTGCAAGGTGAGCTCTCAAATGGTGGGGATTTGCCTGCTGGGAGTCCCAAGCTGCCCTGTGGTCTGCCGACTGCCATTTATTTAATGCATGTGGCATGCATGGAAGAAGAAAAACCCAATATGTTAAACATCTCATCCTCATAACGTATAAAACAAATGCATAAAGGACTTTAAAAATATCCTCACTATCCTAATAATAACTAATCACAGGTGCATTTTTTTTTGCACACAAAGTGTGGAGAACTTTCCAAGTAATAAAATTTTAGAAGTAAAAGGGCTTTGTAGATTCTGTGGCCTCTCAGTTAATAAATGAGATTAACAAAGAACGAAGGAAGTAAAAATGGCATGTCCAGCCCAAGACAGCACTCCAAATAAATCTCAAGTGCACCAAAAAAGGTCTACATTTTCTTACAGAACTCCCCATGTTTTCTTATGAAGAGCTATTTTTAACAATGTAAAAAGAGAGGCCTTAGAAAGATGTACATGAGATCTTAGAAAAATTTCTCTCTTGTTTAGTATTCTATTCCTGATTATAAGAATAACAGGATAAAACAGAAAAGGTTCTTTGAAAAGTGAAGAGAATATTACATGACAAAAAAAAACTTTTTTTAAAGCAACAGTCCTACATTTGAGTCTCAGATTTCTTGTTTTTGAAAAACTCTGCTTCGAATTAAGAGAATTCACTTCTATAAAAACATGCTGAAAATTCTCAATGTTTTTTTGACATCCTAGCAAATGTGTATGGCTATAAGTACAATCTAATAGTAACCAACTAGTAGAATTAAGAGTAGTTTGGGGGTTTGGCTTTATTTTAAGAATAGCTTCTTAACAATGGTCAATTCCTGTGTTTCAAGAAATGTGCGCAACACTAATAAAAAGAATGGAGAAAATTTCATATTTCAGTCCTTGCTTGTTTGGTTCTATATTAGCTACTTTATCTGCCTCACATTTTGAGATGGGAAATAGTATGTCCATATTACTAATGAAGACACTAAACACTTCCCTAAAGTCTCAAGAGCTAACAAGAAGCATACAGGGATTCCAACTCTGCACCTACTGCTCTGCCAATAATACTGCCAAGCTGCTTATAACAATGAATAGATTCTAAAATCTTCAGTACTCTTTGCTTGCTTTCTTTTTCAACCCAAGTTAAAGGAATTTTGGCACCAAGTACAAAGGCTAAAGGAGCCAAAAAGTACATGTGCAACTATAAAAACTCTTGGGGCAGAAATGTTAAAGTCAAGTAGAAGATGTGAATAAATGTTCTAGCATTAAATTTTCTAAATTAAATTGCATAATGTAAAATTACATATTCAATGTCATTTATATAAAGTATATCATCAAAACAATTATGATAGCTCTTTCTATTAAAGCTTCAAAATTCATAACCAGAATTTGACAGATTTATGCCTTATATTTAAATAAACCAGATGAGTTTAAATCTACAAGTGAAAATGGTGCCAAAATTGAGATAAATATCTGAGACAACAGGCAAAGTGTCTTTTGAGGTTACAGAACTCTTGCTAAGAATGTAGCTAAAATAACATACTGTCTCTTTATATAAACGACTACACACATCTAGCATTTATATAAAATTATAGGATCACCTAAACAATTGTTAACTCAATAAAAGCTTATCAATTATTTATTAAGGCACATGACCAAGGTTTATACCCTTGAAAGAACTAACTTTTTCCTTTGGAATTGAAAGTCTCTCACAAAATTTAAATGCTCATTGATATGCAGCCATTTAAGGAGAGATTTTCTAGATACTCAATTTTTCTGCTACAAGAATCTATATATTCAGAAACCAAATTCAATACAACAAACCAAGTTTATATTAGAAAATTTACTGAAAATTTACATATGTAAGTATATACATATAAGTGTGTGTGTGTGTGTATATATATATATTCTCCCTAAATTTAGTGTAAAAAGGAATAACATATTACTAGCTTCAGTAAGCTTACAATCTAGTAAGGAAATACAGATTATTGATCTTCTAAGTATATTCAAAAAATTAACTAGACAAAACATAAAACTAAGTCTCAATTTTTGAGCTATTACCTTCTATATCACATTCTCAGAGTGCTCACAAATGATCAACTTATTATAATTTGTATTATGAGAACTTTCATTGCACTAATTATTTGAAATTAATTTTTAATTGGCTCAGCTTTACAGCAAACAGTGTTACATACTCCCAAGAGCATAGCATTTTATTTGCTATATAGATTTTAATAAATGGTGTTCTTTCCTTTCACTTTCTCCCTGTGTTGATGCTCACTTAAACTTTATGGGATAAAAGAGATAAAAGTAAAACAGGACAAGACATTGTCCTTCTGCAAAAAAGGTTATAACCAATTATCTCTAGATACTCTATTCAATTCAAGGAAGAAGTAAAACCAAAGATAGCTTCAAAAAAGCTTTCTTTTACAAAAAGCAAAATGAAAATATTACTCAACACCATTCCATTCTCTTTCTCAAAAATATGAACTCTCAATTGTCAACTGATATTCTGTAACTTGTCACTAATGTACTCTGCTCCAAGAAAATTCAACTGCTTAAATTTATGCTTTTTTAAAAAACTGCTCACTATTCTTGCCAGGAACTGATGGCTCACACCTGTAATCCTAGCTACTCAGGAGGCTGAGATCTGAGGATACTGGTTCAGAGCTAGCCTGGGAAGAAAAGTCCATGAAAATTTTATCTCCAATTAACTACCAAAAAGCAGGAAGTAGTGCTATGTGGCTCAAGTGACAGAGTGCTAGCCTTGAAGACAAAAACTCAGGGACAGAACTCAGGCCCTGAGTTCAAGCCCAAAGATCAGCACACACACAAAAAAAAGACTCATTCTTCACATGCATCTCAAAAGCCACCTTTTCCTTATAACCTTTACCAGATGCACAAATATTTACATAACACCCTCCATGCACTTTATTAATTCATCCCATGTGATACAGCTTATTCTGCTCAGAAATGTAGTTTTATGTGTATTTATTTGTGATAACAGTAATGCCAGCAACAAGAGATTTATTGAAAGCTGACTATAAATTTGAAATCAGCATGTATTATTATTCAGGAAACTGGAAGTTTTGTGTTATTAATTAATTTGCCCAAGGTCCATATAAGCCACACCCATCTATGTATGATCCTGAGACTTGGGTGACCTCTTAACTAAATAACTGGTCCAAAACAATAATCTCTTAGATCTTCAACGGTCTTCCTTACTTCTCCATTTCTAAAGGAATACATAGAAAATAGCTTTAAATAGCAGAAACACAGTAAGTTACTCAACTACACAATAACTAGAAGATAAATTCCTATTATAACTTACTCCAGTAGAGTATCTACTTATATACTAATAGAATACCCAATGCCTTAAGTTTACAATAATTTATACCATAAATTAAGAATTTATAATTAAATATTTCCACTATTTTTAAACTAGTAATAAAAATTAGGAAAAAGAGATCATCATTAAAATATTATTTTAAAATTTTCAATGTGTATGTGTGTTTGATCCCATGAAGAAAAAAGTGTGCATATCATTTCCGTGTGAATGCAATTGATTTCCTAGGTAAAAAGGGCACCAAACCTGGTTTTTGGACTGCTGCGTCTTATCTCTGTGTGGGTGTGCCTCTCGGTTGGATGACAAAGCAGGGTCTTGCTGAACGGCTCCCACTGGAGTAGGCTGCAAGACAGTAACAGGGGCTAGTAATACACTCTACTTCAGAATGTTCTTTCATTTTACTGTCAAGGTGACCCACAGAGGGGTTACAGTTGTATACATAAGGTAGTGAGCACATTTCTTGTTGAACACTGTTACCCTTCCCTTGTTTTTCTCCCACTTTCCCTCCCCACCAGCTCCCTCTTCTCTCCCCCAAGATATAAAGTTCATTTGCAACATACAGTTTTTTGAGTATCACTTTTGCCACCCTTTGTCCTTTGTCTCACCATTTTGTTCCCCTTCCCTTTCCCAAATCAGATAAATATATATACAAGACACAGGGTAGAGCTCCCCTATGACCCAGCAATCCCACTCCTGGGCATTTACCCAAGTGACCACAAATGAGGCCATACTAAAGCTACCAGTACAACTATGTTCACTGCTGCACTATTAACCACAGCAAGATATGGAACCAATCCAAATGCCCCTTAGTAGGGTGAATGGATTAAGAAAATGCAGTATGTGTACACAATGGAAATATATACTCATTGCTTCCATCAGAAAGAATGACATTGCCCCATTTGTAAGGAAATGGAAAGACTTAGAAAAAGTAATATTAAGTGAAGTAAGCCAAACCCAAAGAAACCGAGGCCCCATGGTTTCCCTCCTTTGTAGTAATTAGTATTGAGTCTAGGACAGTCCTATCAGAGGCTCACAACAGCTCAAAAGCTATGTACATATGACCATATAAGATGATGCTAATAAAAATGAACTCAAAGATATGAAAACAAGAGGTTTTTCTTTGTTGTTTTTAATGCACTGTGTGCAGTTTGTCTTTCTTTCTTTTTTTCCTTTCTTTTCTTTCTTTCTCCTTTGGTTTATCCTCTGCTGTCAACTGTATTTGATTCTGGTACCATATGTCTTATATATATGTTAATCAGAAATCTTTTTTTTTTTTTTTTGGGTCCGGTCGTGGGACCTGAACTCTGGGCCTGGGCGCTGTCCCTCAGCTCTTCAGCTCAAGGCTAGCACTCTACCACTTGAGCCACAGTGCCACTTCCGGCTTTTTTCTTTTTGCTTATGTGGTGCTGAGGAATCGAACCCAGGGCTTTGAGCATGCAAGGCAAGCGCTCTACCACTGAGCCACTTTCCCAGCCCCTAATCAGAAATCTTTTTTAAAATCATTTCTCTAGTTGCTTAAAATGATCAAGGAAAAATATTAAAAGTTGTTAAATAAATTATGTCTCTGGAAAACAGTATTATTCTCAAAATATACTATTACAGCTCATGTCTGCAATCCTAGCTACTCAGGAGGTGAGATCGGAGGATCATGGCTCAATGCCTGCCTAATATTTAAATATTTAAAATATTTTTATAAATATAAAAAGCCTTGTAAGACTCTTCCTACTTTTAGGTTCTTATCAAAAATAATTTTTAATGTCTCTCATTTCCAAAGCTAATTTATGAACAGAACCTGTCATTCTAATAAAATTGAAGAAATAAATTTCATAAACAAAACTACACATATCTAATATTTTGACTCAGAGATTTATTAAAAAGCACATTTTATTAGATAGTACATATTTAATCATGAGAATATCATACAAAAATAGTATACTTGATCTTAAGAATCAAATTGGGATGAGAACTCCAAAAGAACCTATTATTCTAATAAGGAGAGTGAACAAAATTCAAGTAACAATAGCTTGACACCACCTGAAGAAATCTCTCAAAATAGGAAGATGAATCCTTTAAACTAATACAAATAAATACACATCAGGTCTCAACTCTTCTCAACAAATACCATAAAAATCATCTTCTATTATACAGCAGAGTACTCACCAACTGTTTACCAATCCAGTCATATTCATAATCAAACATATATCCTTTTCGATCAAACAAGTCAGTAAAAAGTTTTCTTAGGTAATCATAGTCTGGCTTTTCAAAAAAATCTAGCCTTCTTACATAACGAAGATATGTTGCCATTTCTTCTAGAAAGAAAATAAAAATTACTCTGACTACACTTCTCTATAATAAATAGTTATTGTCTCAAAGCACAATGTGCTACAAAAACATGAAAAAACAAACTATTTCAACTTAAAATCTTTGAAGTTCAATTACAACAAAATTTCCCCTTTTAGAAGAAAACAAAGGAGGAAAGAACATAAAGACAAAAAAGGTAAAGCTTAGTTTAACCACTATTTTTGCTGCTTATTAGCAAAGACTAAAATTTTATAAAATTATTTTTAATAGATATCCTAGACAGTACTAAAGTTTAATTAGCAGTTCAATGATGCACGATTATTAAATCGCATTCAGTGCATAAGTTTTACTAAAGTATTTACTAAAAATATCAGTGGGAATTGATTTATGTGACAGCATAAGTACTGGTTTGTTGGATTTCCTTTAAAGTCAGCAATATACACTAACTCAGCAATAGCAAATGCCTAAACTTAACTATGACCATTATTTTAACCAAATGAACTTTCAAAATAAACCTAAAATAGTTCTCAAAAATATAACCCAGGAACACTTTTGGTGTCTTCTCTAAATATCTGGTCAAAGGGTGAACAACTAATTGGTAATAGACAAATCTCTGCACCCCACGGCATTTCCCAAATCTAATAAATACATCCTTTCTTTTTAAATACTTCCAAAAGAAAAAGAAAGGGAAAAAGAAAAAAATAGACAAAATGGTGAGCTATTAGTCACAGCACTCTTCCCTCAGGGCACACAAGTTTGCTGACAATGAATTAGCAAGGGCTGGGAAGGTGGCTCAGTGGTAGAGTGCTTGCCTAGCATGCAAGAAGCCCTGGGTTTGATTCCTCAGCACCACATAAACAGAAAAAACCAGAGGTGGTGGCAGAGTGCTAGCCTGGAGCAAAAGAAGCTCAGGGACAGGGCTCGGAGTTCAAGCCCCAGGAATGGTTAAAAAACAGAATTTGCAAACTTTTAACAAAGAGCTACCTCAGATTACACTGATACTATTACAGCATGATAAGGGAGAACCAGAAACAAGAAGTCAATCTTGTATCTTCAAATCACAGCAGGTATTCTAATTTATTAACAAAATTATTCTTATTCTTTAATTGACTTCGAAAACGTCCATTTTTTTGGTGGGGCTGGAGTTTGAACTAAGGTCCTCGCGCTCGGGACGCAAGCACTCTATCATGGAAGCCATGTCCTCAGCCCTGGTTGTTTCTTTTCACCTAAGATGTCACTTTTGGCCTGTACCAGCCTCAGGTCACAAGTTTCCTAACCTCACCCCCAAATAACTGAGATTGTAGACATGAAACAACATGCCCCACTTAGTTGTTGCCATGTAGTCCCACTAACAATTTGCTCAGCTGGTCCTAAACCATGACTCTCCAGAATTACAGTTATGTATTGTTATTCCTAGAATAAGTAAAATTCACCGATTTAGAGTTGCTATATGCCTCCCTGAAAACAAAATGTTTTCATAAATGTGTACAGTTCTCCAATGTAAATCTAGCCTAAAATTAGTAAGGTCGGGAAGATTTTACTGTACTTTGAACCTCTTCTTTTGAAGCTGACTTTGAGAGCCAAATGACTCATATTGTACTAAACTTAATAGTTGGTATTCTTGGGGCTGAGAAGCTGGCTCAGTGGTGGAGCGCTTGCTTTGCATGAATGAGGCCCTGGGTTCCATTCCTCAGCACCACATAAGCAAAAAGAAAAAAGCCGGAAGTGGTGCTGTGGCCCAAGTGGTAGAGCGCTAGCCTTGAGCTGAAGAGCTGAGGGACAGCGCCCAGGCCCAGAGTTCAGGCCCCACGACCGGACCCCCAAAAAATAATAAAAAATAAAATAAAATAAATGTGTTATTGGGCTGAGGATGGAAGCACATACCTATAATCCCAGCTACACAAGAGGCAGGGATGGGAGGGAACAGGGTTCACGGCCAGTACAGACAAAAATGTTAGTGAGACCTTATCTCAAAACCCCCCAGGCATGATGGTTTATACCTATAATCCCAGCTACAAAACAGGTGCAGACAGGTGGATCACTCTCTAAGGATGGCTGTGTGAAAAACTGCAAGCTGAAAACTAAAGATAAAAGGGCTAGGGTGTAGCACAACTGGTAGAGTGCTTATCTAGCAACTGCAAAGCCCCGAGTTCAAACTATAGTACTGTCAACACAAAAAGGTCACTGAAGAAGGTATAACTTCAGCTAGGACTGGGCTAACATTATTATTTTTGGGGGGGAAGGGGGAGTCCGGTCGTGGGGCCTGAACTCTAGGCCTGGGCGCTGTCCCTCAGCTCTTCAGTTCAAGGCTAGCGTTCTACCATTTGAGCCACAGCACCACTTCCGGCTTTTTTCTTTTTGCTTATGTGGTGCTGAGGAATCGAACCCAGAGCCTCATGCATGCAAGGCAAGTGCTCTACCACTGAGCCACCTTCCCAGCCCCTGGGCTAACAATATTAAAGGATGGAATTTTCATCTAATACCACCATGTAAAACACATTTTTAAAGTCTTCACGTTGAAGTATAAAAATATTTATAAATTGAAGTAATAAATAGCAGCAGTTATCAGTTTGGCATTATTCATTACCTGGAAAATTTTCACATAACACCTCTATCGGTGTTGCTCGTTTTGTATCGCCAATTTTCTGATACCTCTCTTTTAGTGTGTCAGCCTAAAATAGGAAAAAGAAACATCCCTGAGAATATGATAAGTCAAAAATAATTAGTTAGAATAGGTAATTTAAGTATATAAGACTTAATTAAATTAAATAAGGAAACACAAAAACAAATACCTTTAAGCCTTGCCAAGGAAGACTGCCTCTTAGAAAGTACATGAACATATGACCTAAAGCTTCTAAATCATCTCTTCTACTTTGCTCTGAAACAGAAGATACATAAATTTCACTGCTCTTTACCAGTTAAAGTTAGAAAAGAGAACTGATTCTTTTTCAAAATTTATTTCCCAAAGTTCAATATATAAATGAAAATATAGGTCCCTTGCATACAAGTGAGAAAATTATGACTAAACTAAATCATAACTGCATTTTTACATATTAATCATGATTAAATATACTATTATAATAATGTAAATGCTACTACAGATTTTCTTATCTACTCAGATATATGTTCACGGAAATACAGGCGAAGGGAAAAAAGATTCCAGTGATTAAGCAGTCTTTGTGGAATACAGCTCCATTTTTAAAGACTTAGAGCACAACATATTAAAGCTCCCAAGAAGCATTTGAGTTTTAAATTATTTAGTTAACTTTATTAAATGATCCATTACATGAAGTTATGAAAGCATAAAACTTCCAATCACATTTTCCCCATCAACATTGAGAACAATTAGTTTTGTGTATATTTCAAGAAACTTTGATCGGTGACATTGATCAAGATGCACTATATTCATAAATTGCTTCGATGAATGCAACTCCTTTGTATAACTACACCAAGATAATAAAAATATTTTTTAAAAACTGATGTTTGACACATACCAATAGTGATAATCCCTCCACTATCACCAAAAATTAAGACTAAAACAAATCATCATTTTCAAGTTATTTCTGTTTATCAATGAAATGTCATATAACATATAACTGACTAATTATCACAAACTAAGTAAGGTTCAGGGAAGATCCTTATAAATATTTATTACTAGAGGTGACACTAAGCAAAAGGAAAGAAATGTACATATCACCCAATGTGGAAGAAATAACAGTCTCGTCAAAGCTCATAGAACTCATAAACTTTATAGACCACAATAAAGACAATTTGTCCCATGAAGATTAGAATGTGTTTGTGACTTAATAACTAAGTATCACTATCTCACAATAGTGTGAAATTTATGTAATCACTTAATCACAATAAAAACTGCTACAAAAAGAGGTATTTCAATTTTTGTCAATGAAGTTAAATTTGCATTTTTGGATCTTTTAAATTATAATTCAGAATGCTGAGTAACAATAAAAGAAAAAAACAATAGATTACTAAATGGTGTTTGCATAAAAGATGTTTACCCCAAGTGCTGCTTGAAGAAAAGCAAACTTCTCAAGGAAAGGATCAGAATTAGGGTGAAGCGGTCAGAAAGCATTTAAAATTTTACCATGGACTCTCCTAACAATGTGCCAGAGTGTGTGTTCTTTACTAATATCCTTCCACAAGCCTGCAGGCTGTTTATTATCGTCAAAAGCATGTGTAGTGGCTACACAGAGCAGTCTTTATGGATGCTAGGTCCTAGTGTCGTAAAACAAAAATTTTGGAGGGGGAAAAAAAAAATCCTACTTCTAGACTCCAGTTGAAAATTAGAATGATCTGAGCTTTTCAAACTGAAATCCTACTGCCGGTGACAGATTCCTTGGATATGAAACCAAGTGGAGGCCTGTGCCTCAAAAGCTTAATAGATGATATTGAAGTTTATTGAGTTTCAAAAATCATTAAAAAGAAACTCCTTTCACTAAAGGATAATTTGTCTATAATCAAATACTCTCACAATAGCATGAAATCTGGTAAATTTTGACATCATTTGTACACTACTCCCACCACCATCAGGAAGCATCTCTAATATATGTCCAAATAATCTTGCCGTTAGTCTCCCTTTCCACTGAGACTTTTTACGGCACCACACAGTACAGACTCATTTCTGAATTCTCTCACCCCATATGTTTCTATGATTCACCCATAGCACTCCATGTATCAGTAGTTCATTATTTTTTATTGCTGAATAGCAAGGCACAATATGTTAATCTTCCTACTGAAAGATACTTATAGTTTCCAGTTTGGAGCTACTGGAGGAAGAGCACTTTGAATATTTTTATACAAGTCTTTTTATGAATATACACTTTTATTTTTCTTGAATATAAATTTTTAGAAATTACATCATGGAATCACATGACAAGTGTAAATTTATCTTTGTAAGAGAGTCTTAAATATTTTCAAAAAAGTTTGTGTGTATCCCATTTCACATTCTCAGCAGCAATGTACAAGAGTTCCAGTTACTTCAAAACCTGTCCAGTATATGGTTGATTTCTTAAACTTTAGCCATGCGAACAGCTAAGTATTATTTAATTTGTATCTCACTAGGGACTGATGTTTAAAGGCACTTTATGTGCTAGTAATCTCGCATACATCTTTGTGAAATATTTGTTCAAATGCTTTGCCCATTTTTTTTAGAACTGAGTACTTGTCAAAGTTGTGAAAGTTCCTGGCGTATTCTGAATACAAGTCATTTTCAGATATATATTTTGTAAATACTTCCTTTGTCTGACACCACAGCTTGTTTTTGTTGTGTTTTCTTAATAAAAAACAAAGTTTCATACTTTGAAGAACTCCAATTTACAGGGAGTGGTCAGGAATCTGATTCTTAAAAACATTGCAAAATTTGGGCTGGGAAGGTAGCTCAGTGGTAGAGTGCTTGCCTTGCATGCATGAGGCCCTGGATTCGATTCCTCAGCACCACATAAGCAAAAAGAAGCCGGAAGTGGCACTGTGGCTCAAGTGGTAGAGCGCTAGCCTTGAGCTGAAGAGCTGAGGGACAGCACCCAGGCCCAGAGTTCAGGCCCCACGACTGACTCCCCCTCCCCCCACCTCCGCAAAAAAAACAAATTTTTTCCATTTTTTTCTTTTTAAGCTTTATAGTTTTGGTTCTTACATTTACATATATTTTACACTGTGAAGTAACTTATTTTTGGTTCTAGAGCAGGATAAAAGTTCAGATTCTTTCCAATATAAATATGCAGTATTCTCATACTGTTTCTTGACAAGATTCTTTCCCCTTGCATACCTTGCATTCTCAAAAATAATGCATAGATGTTTTTCAATCTACTATTTCTAGACTATATATTGACATACCTATCTATGCTGACTCAAAATAAATAAAAAACAAAATAATCATGAAGAAATCAATGGCCAATAAAACAGAAAATCAACAGAAAAATAGTAACAAAAGCTGATAAAATCTTTAATCCTCTTAGTATGCTAAAAGAAGCATGTATTACCAATAACAGGAACAATAGAGGGGCTAACAGAACAAATCCTATAGCCATTCAGAGAACAGGTACAGTATATTTTATGAATATTATACCCATAAATTCAACAACTAGGACATAATAGAGAAAAGCTTTGAAAGGTATTAACAATCTAAACACTGTTGCCGAGCACCAGTGGCTCACATTTGTAATCCTAACCACTGATAAGGCTGAGATCTGATGATCATGGTTCTAAAACTGCCCTGGCAAGAAATGCCAGGAGACTTTTATCTCCAATTAAGCACCAAAAAAGCCAGAAGTAGATCCATCACTCATGTGATAGAGCACTAACCTTGAGCCAAAAAAGGTCAGGGACAGTGTCTAGGCCCTAAGTTAAAACCTAGGACCAGCACCAAAATAAATTAATAAATAAGTAAATGGCAATGTTAATAGCTTTATCAACTGAAGAAATTTAATTTTAAATTTAGAGCCTTCCCCAAATACAACGGCTAGATGACATCACATGCGAATTACATCAAACAAGAAAAAAATACAAATTCTACATACTCTTAAGAACAGTCATTCCCATCTTACTACCTTGTTACAAAAACCAAAGATAATACAAGTAGCAGAAGTATAGGAAATATTCCTGATAAAGTAATGAACTAATATACTGTAACTAAGTAAAGTTAATGCTTAGAATGTAAGGTTAGTTAACTTTCAAAAGCAAATCAATGTAAGTCATGTTAATAGAGTTGTTGTTTTTTTGTTTTTTTTTTTTTGGTTGTGGGGCCTGAACTCTGGGCCTGGGCACTGTCCCTCAGCTCTTCAACTCAAGGCTAGCGCTCTACCACTTAAGCCACAGCGCCACTTCCGGCTTTTTCCGCTTATGTGGTGCTGAGGAATCGAACCCAGGGCCTCATGCATGCAAGGCAAGCAATCTACCACTGAGCCACCTTCCCAGCCCGTTAACAGAGTTTTTTTAAAACATGTAAATCACAGGATCATCTTAGATATAAAAAAATATCATAACAAAAATCCAACATGCATTCCCATAAGAAAACTCTGCAAATAAGAAATTTAAAAACATTATTTCTAACAAAGGACAACTATGGAAGAACTACAACATAATTTTTGAATAGTGAAAGATACCTGGTGATCAAGATTTAAAAAAAGCTCTACTTTCCCATCCTTCTATTTAATATAGAATTATACAAACAGTTCTTTCACTACAAAAAAATGCTGTGAAAACAAATATCATAATGTATGCAAATTGGAGAGTAAAACTATTTTTCTTTGTCAATGATTTGATACAGAAATTTTAAAGTAATCTACAAAATGTCTATTAAGAACTAGTGAGTTTTAACAATTACAGGGCACAAGATCAATATATAAAAGCAACCAGATTTTTATATTAGCAATGAACAATAGGGAAGTGAATTTTAAAGCCATAATCCTTACAACAGCATTACACAACAAGAAATATGTAAAGATATGTACACATATGAGATCTACGTTTTATAAAATACACTTTAAAAGACTAAAATATATTTAAAAAATATACTGAGCTCTACAGTAGGACTCATTGTTTAGGAGACAAACTCAGAATAAAAGGCAATTCCGGCAATTCCTATTGAATTCCATCCAAGGAAAGGGGCCTTTAATTATCACACTGACAACTAAGAATAATCGTAAGATAATTTTACCCATATGGCTCTAACAGATGTCTAACAGTATTACTCTCATAACCTACACAGCATTTAAAAATTCAAGCCATAAATATGAAGATGTAAAATAAACCCGCCATTGAAATTCAATCCAAAATATAATTTTCCCTCATAATTCTTTTGTGTTTTTTCACAACTGATACATCTGGAAATAAATCTTGCTATGCAGCAAGTAGCAAAAGTCACAG